GCTAAAGAAGAACACCGAACCCATCACTTTTGGTGACGGTCTTAGGTTATGGTTCATTGTAGAACCTTTTCCTAAGTGACGGAGAATGGAATCTCAACGTCGACGAACCAAGAAACCCTTATGTTCGAGTTAGGGTTTTTGAACTCTGATGAGATTATGAAAAATCTCGGCCATGATTTTGATGGAGACGACTTCAAGTCATCAAGAATGGCAACTGTGGTGGCTGGGATTGGCTACAGGCCATTCTTTTGTAGAAAATCAGTGGTGATGCCGATGATGGCGTCGGGTTCTAGGTTTAGAGCCTAAGGGGGCTCCATGGTCCCGGCCTGCTAGAGGGTTTGGGTTCAAAGAACCCAAAATATTTTTTTAGTTAAATGCAATTCATATAATTCAATGCATGAGTAGATATATGATGCAATTCATGGCAATATCAATTCACATAATTCAACAATTATGGATATAATGCATACACAATTTATGTAGAATCTAAAGTTCGAAAAACGTAAAGTTGGGTCATGCATTATGGTGAATGTTCATGCTATTAGGGCTGCAAAAATATCGAGATAAAAACCGTTGTTTTGAAAAAACCTGATTGTGTGATGATATTGATGAACTGGTTTGATGCAAAAAAAAAAAAAATCTTCAATTTTGGCTTTCCATCTCCAAAACTTGTATTACGTTCAACAAAAAAAATTAAAATGAATCAATAAAAGTATATGAATCAATAAAATCAAAATTTAATCAATTAAAAATTATTGAAATATAATACTCCCCTGATTGAAGACGAATAATTTTTTACGTCAGATTCCTAAGCGTAGTTGTAGGAGTGTGCTGATAACGTGTTGCGGCCTATATTTAACTGACAGGGGAGAGGGGGCGGCGGCACAGAGAAAGAATATAGAGAGAGATATGTGTTTGTATGATTGTGTATAGGATGTTGTTATTCCCCCTATTTAGTGCCTTTATTTACAGTAAGAAGAGAGAGAAGAAATCATTCTCCTCCAAGAAATACAAGTCCTAACAGGGAAGAATAACTAGAATAAAATCTAATTTAGGATTTACACGATCACACTTAAATAAGAAGTTTATAACACTAAAATATATATAGCTGACAACAATGCAACATTCTTCGATCAACTCCTCTTACGTTTTTATAATGCTTATTTTAGATCTTCTCGCGCTAGTAGAGTCAACTATCTAAAGAATTTTAGGTGTGATATGAAACTTGTAAATTAGGTTATGTTAGAAAAACAATTTTTTTCAACCCAAGAAAATTAAGTAGGAAGAACAACAAATGAACTCATCAAAGGGTGGGCAAGCCCAACGGACCTTTATTCGTATCCATCTCCAGTTGTTTGGAGAGCCACACAATGTCACATAACCCAACATATGATATAGCCATTGATCATATAAACTAATATTGGAAATTGGAGGGAGTCTCTAAGCTTAGGAACAGGTTTGAATGTTGGATTATGTGTCTAAGTTTGAGAGGTTTTGGAGCTGAAGCTACTTTCGAAGTTAATTTAGGTCTAGTTACAAAGAAATTAAAATAAATGCAGGATATACGATGAATAGTGATAGGATTTTTACCATTTTTATGAAAAAAGTTAAAAACATCTAAAATACTTGCAAGAGAAACAAGGTTATCGTTATATAGCAACTCATGCAAAGCCGTTCTCCACAAGAATTATCAAACCAATTTATATTTAAAACTAATTCTTAATTAATTATTGAAAACAAAGTTTAGAAGTAGAATTGAAATTGTGAATTGAAATAATGAAAGGAATTAAGTAAAAAGCAAGTACAAAAATCGGCAAAAAGTAGAGAATAATGTAAAAACACAGTTTTGAAAAATCAAGTTTAAAAGACACTAGAGTTTCGCCGTCACTTTAATAGTCTTATATAGTTTTACTAATTACTTATGAAGTACACATGCAACTTTAAAGGTTAGGTTTTCCTTATGCATATTCTCCTCATGATATTCAAGTAAGAATGTATATCTAACATGCAACCTATCTGTGATATTCAGATCAAATATACACATGCAAGACTCATAAAACTTTGTGAAAGCTTTTTGAAAAACAACGCAACCCTTAAGAGCAGGATTCGCCTTAAGTGAATTACAATTATCAATCACTACTACAAGACGCTTACCCAACCAACATTTAGATCCTGCTTCACCCAAAACTTTTATGGTTCACCCCAACATTCCCCACATCTTTTACGTACCCACCCAATTTAACAACTTTTTTGAAACGCATAATATCAGAAGTAATTCAATAAAGACTATATATTCATGCTAAAGTTCATAATCTTGCGCTAACAAAGAAAGTTAGTCACGCATATTCATAATTAAACCCAAAAACATTATTATTAAGAAAAGAAAAAAGGATTGAAAACACATTGTCTCAAAGTAGCAATCTCCAAAGCCTAGCCAAGTTCTCTAAAGTAATGCGTAGATAACCCTAATACACGGCTACACTATATTTATAGTTTCTTATTCCTTGTTGTACATAAACAAGGTCTTCTAATAAATATGGAAATCTAATTAAAATAATAAATAATGATTTTTTTATTCAAAGTCAAATTCAGATTGTAGAGAAAATCACACTTTCGTCTCTTTTTAAAGCTTGACACATTCTCTTCAAATCCTCAGAATGAACCTTTCTCAAAATATGTCATTTTGACCTTCAAAATGCCCAAAATGTGCATAAAGGTTAATCTGGAAGAACTGCACAGTTAACACTTATTTCTTCAGTCAAACGGCTTGAACTTAAAACCTGAAATTTGTATACAATCATTCTGAAAAAATCACGAATCTACTCCAGTTAGAATTACTCTGAAATTCATCAACTTCATTACTTTATGTTCAAAGCATCAAAATTCTATCAAAATAATAAATCAATTATAGTTACAAATGGAGTAAAATACATAATGTAATATCGACTCACAAATATATTTAAGTGATGTGTATAAAATACAGTGAGCAGTGGAGAGGAAGTATTAGTAATTGAGGAGTGGGAAAAAATGCAAAATGGAAGAAAGAAACAAGTGGTGGGGGACAGTAAAAGATAAAGGGACAGATTGACAGAGATTCCATTTATGCAGAGAAACGTCTGAAACACAAAGGAAAAGATACAGATTATAGAGATATGTTAAATAAAGAGTAATGCTGAATTTACTTTTTATTTGTACTATTATTTGTATTATTTTTTTAATAGATATAGAGCCTATTAACGCATATAGAGATATTTTTATTTGATAAATGATACAAATAGATGATAATAATAATAGGAAAGTATTATTGGCACTTTAAAAATCTCATTCTACACTCATCACAAGTGTATTTTTCTTTCCAAATATAGAAAATTTGGAGTGTAGAATGAGATTTTTGGAATACCAATAACAATTCCCTAATAATATATTTGGTAAATTAATAGACAATTGATCGTTGTGTATAATATTATACACCATCATCTATGTGGGTTGGAATTCTGACCATTGGATTTTTAGCTGCACATTCAACGCGTCATTCAAATGGTGCATACACTGGAGCGTTGAATCTTTAGCTGCACATTTAACGCCTCATTCAAATGATGCATGTCATACACTATAGAATGATAGAATTTCAACTGAATTAGAGGGTCCTTATCATATTGCCTGCAGTACTAGGAGTACAGATCATCCACGGATTTAAAAAAATTGAGCTTAAGGATTAAATAATACAGGTCGTTGAAATTTGATTCAACGGCTACAATTATTATAACTTTTAGAGGGGTCTCCTATTTGTAGCCATTAAATCAAATTTCACCGGCCCGAATTATTTGATCCTTAGGCTCAGTTTTTATAGATCCGGAAAAAATCTGTACTCCAGTACTAGCTAGTATCAGTCAATCCCTGTGTCTTTGATCAACTCACCACCACCAAGAAGCAAATAATGATATATATATATGTTGGAAAAATTGGATCTATTGCTAAATTAAATCACATGGAAAATCAAGAAATAATTCATGTAATTATATATCAAAGTGATGGATGCACATGAGTAACTAATGTTAACGAACATGACATAATGGATTAGAAAAAACCTGAAAATATGGTCGAGACAAGTGTTGGACACTTTGTCCTTACGACAAGTTTACACCTCACTCCGGTGCTCATAGTTGATCGGCGCATGTCTCCCATGATACAACGACCACGTTCTTGTAATAGTAGCACTCCAAATCACAATACTCCATGAACCACAATTATGTTAAAAACTCTCTCATATGGATTCAATGAGACTCTCTAATATTTAATGCACTCTATGTATGATTATGTAAACAAATGAAAAGTTATTTTTGTGATTATAGGGGGCTTCTCTATTTATAGAATGTGATATATCTATTTGGAAAACATGTAACTATTCATAAAGAGTCAAAAGTTACAATACTTCATTTAAGTGGACATATTTTTCTACCAAAAGGCTCAACTTCTAATTTCCATTCAATTAATAAATTTAATATAATAATATTATTATTAAATTTTCCAACAATATATATATATATCAAGACCTTCTCTTTCCTCTAATATCACCTTTCATCTGCTAGCTACACAGTAATTCATCTCTTTCTTCCAATCTACACAGTCCACAGAGCACAGTTCACTGCATTCGTTGATCGATGCATAGATTCCTTTCTGGTTTCTGGTAACCAAAACCTGCAGGAAAGACTCCTTTGTTTTCTCCATACAGGCTAGTCCAGCTATGCCCTATATATAATTGAAAACACACACCCACCCCCCCCCCCCAACCCCACCCAACCCCACCCTCCAGTCTTCAGACCCCATATTATACATATACTAAAACCCAACACACAAAAATACTGTTCATTAACAGTGTGATGCCGATTTTATCCTTACTTGATTTGTTTAATTTCGTTTGGACCCTTTTTACACGTGTTGTCATCCATGCTTCGTTTCTCTTTTCCTCTTTTCTTTCCGTTCGTCTTTTACACATGTTGGACTCTTCAGCTCCATCTTTTCCACGTGTTTATCAACGATGGTGCTTCTGGTCTATTGATTACCCTTTCTTTCCGTTCGTCTTTCTCTCCCATTCTCAGCTTTTGCTTATTCTAGAACCTTGGGTGTTTTTTCTCCTCTTTCACACGGCCGTTGTTCATGCTGCCCGTCGTTGTCGGGTTTTTCTCGCCGATTAACTACGGCGGTTTTCTTGCTTTACATCGCTCTTACCCATGGTCGTTTTCTTCGTGGAAAATTTTCCATCTTCTGCTTTTCCTTCTATTTATGGACTCTGTAATTTTTGTTGTGGTTGTCGATCTGGGTTAAATTAGAATCCTTTTTTTGGCTATGCGATCTAAAGTTCTTTGGTGAGTTATTTGGTTTTCTTGCCACATGGGATTTTAATATTTTTTTTGTTTTTTCCGTGGTTCTGATGTGTTTTGATTTTTGACTTCAGGAAGAGAGGATACGATCAAACGTTTATTGGTAAGTTTTCTATTTTTTCTGATTGTGTGTGATTTAATTTTTTTTTCAAGCTTTGGGTGTACTTTTCTGATCTGCTTTGATTTTTAGTTGCAGCAGAAGTTGTTACTCGAATTTTCCAGTTTTTCTCTGTGGCTTTCCATACTCTTTATCATCAAGGTATATAATTTTTTTTCTTTTTCCTGAATCTTTGACTGAAGGTAAGCGAATTTGCTATTTTGGATTATATTAGAGTTGAAATAGGTTTGATTTCAATAACTTTGGGGATTATTGAATTTGTATTCTCTGTTTGGTTTTCTGGTTATTGAGTTTGGATAGGAATTTGAATTTGATTCACAAATTTCTGATAAACCCCAACAAGAAATTTAGGATTGTGTATTAGGGTTTTTTTCCTTTTGTGTTTTGGGATTGTCATCCTTTGTGTATTGGAATGGCCATGAACATTCTCCGGGAAAACTAATGCAATCAGCAATTCACATTTAAAATTTGCATTTTCTTTGCCCTCTCTAATGCAAATATATTTATGCTAATTCATTGGTTTTTTATTTTTTCAAATTTGCAGTATTATTTTGAGGGACGAATATGATTTCGTCAAGTTCATCAAGATGGTGCAACAAGCAAGCCTATTTGTTAATCTCCAGATTGGCCCTTATGTTTGCGCTGAATGGAACTTCGGGTAATTATTTTTGTTAAGAATATTTTGTGATTTTTTTTTATCTTATGTAAATATGGTTATATTCATTACTCTGTGTTTTGTTCTGTTTTTGAAACAGGGGATTCCCAGTTTGGCTGAAATATGTCTCCGGAATAGTTTTTCGAAGGACAATGAGCCTTTCAAGGTAGGATATTATAAATCTTCCGTTTACTCCAATACAACTTAATTTTTTTTAATAAATAATTTTGAAGCTAAATTTAATTTCTAATTATTTGTTATGATGAGGGCAGAGAAGCTGTTTCAAACTCAAGGAGGTCCTATAATTCTTTCTCAGGTTAGAAAGCTGGTCGAGTTTTTAAGTTTTTCTGTGAAATATTGTTAGAATCGCTTTTCGCTGATAGAAAAAGCTTTTAGCCATTTTATAAGCAATCTTAAACATGACGCTAGTCTTTTAACTTAATAGTCTGTTTGTTACAACTTTTTCCATCTTCATTCAATCACGTAGAAAGATGATTATAATTTAGTTGCTCCAAAGATAAAACATGGATTTGTTTATGAGATTTCACTTTCTATACGGGCGAAGTAAAACATCACACAAAATTGTCCTACTAGTCGCTCATTTGTTCTTCATCAACAGATTCTATGATCTCAGTTTTATTTTCTCGATTTCCAACTATTGTCTCTTATTGATAAGAACAACATTCTCACAAGTAATAATTTACATATCCCTGACAAAGACCCATTTATTGACAACATGTGCTTATCAACATTTTTTGAACATTTTAAAGAAACTTCCTAAGCTAATTGTCAAATTGCAAGATATTTTGAAATACGTTAATGCAGTACAACCTTTGGAAAAAAAAATGGTTGCCAATGAAAGGTTTGAGACCAAAAGTTAAATTTGTATTGAAAATATGAGGTACAAAGTATGATAAAGCATTTATAAAAGGATGATTACCCTTTTTTACATTTTTTAAGGTTTATAATTCTTTTCCTACATCTATGCATTTGTCTCTCTCAGTTCACAATTTAGCAGAATGAGAGTATATTTCTGTTTACAATAAGATGTGAATTCTAACCTTTATTCATACGTGTAGGCTAAGAATTGTGGTAGAAGAGTTTATTGTGGTTAGCTTAGAGGAAAATGTGAGGTTAGCAATTTGAAGAGTTTACTTTCTCCTCATATGTTTGCTTCAACATGTGTAAGTTGTAATTATTATTTTTCTCTACATGGCATACTTAAAATTTGTAGATCAGCATATATTTGTTTTTGACATTTCTTATTAAATGTATTTGAAGACTGACTGAAGAAAGTATCCAATTTTTTAGCAATTAAAAAAAAATCACCTCAATAATTACAGTTTTATTCCAATTTGTAAGCAAGGGGGAAAAACTCTGAAGTTTCAATGAAGAGAGGAAGTTCTGAATAGTATGTTTGTGTAAATAGGATTGTAAATATGGATGTACATATATATGCAAATAGAGATGTAAACATTGTTGTTAATGTGTCTAAACAGAATTGTAAACCCGCAACAACGCGCGGGCTCTTTTGCTAGTATGTACTATAGTTGTAATACTGCTCCTCACTCTTGGACCATATGCACCCGTCTCACATACTTAATCTCTTTCAATTGGAGAAGAGATTATATCTGAATCTCTTCCACGAATGTCATCAGATCAAGTGATTCGGAACTTTGAAATTTCATCTAACGGTCCACCCGTTTTGACTCCTTAAAAGCTATAATAATTTTTTACCGTTTGATGATATTTCAAAGATCCGAATCACTTAATCAAATGACATTGATGGAAGAGATCCAAAGATAGTCTCTTTCTCTTTTTTTTTTCCAAAGATAGAAATATATTAAAGACGGATAGAGATGTTTACATCCTTAGCCAGGTATTAAACAAAAAATCTGGACCAATATAGTTCCAGATGAAAGTTCGACCCTCCTTAAACATAAATTTGACCACCGAATGAGCCGAGCGATTGCACTTTCTAGTTGAAAGCCACAGTCTCTTTCTCTTTCAGTTGTACCTTTTTGATCAAGCATCACTCTCTCTTTCTCTCTCTCTCTCTCTGAAATTCGAATCTTTTAGGACGGAGGGCCTTACATCCACACACCAACTGCTAGCTGCACCACCTTGTCACTTGTCACAGCCTCTTCCTTCCACTCCCATACACCATAAATTCTACATTTTTATTCAGTTCAACTTCCAACATTCATGCACGATATCTGTCGGTTTTACATAGATAAAATCAACATAACACCCACATATATGAGTAACGTAACTAGTATTTACTATTACTAAATTACATTTTTATTACTAAGATTGTGAACCATATGTAGCATATATCCATTAAATTACTTTTTAATTTTGATGGAGCGAGCTCGGCTGCTTTTCAAGGCTGGTTGTTATTTTTAATAGAAATATCTTATATTCAAGGGATATATTCGCCTTCAGATGTGTATATACCTATAAAGTTAACTTAATAGAGGTGAGTTAGATTTTTTTTTGTTTTTGTTTTTTAAAGATCTGGGAAAATAGATTACCAGGGCAAAAGCCAAGTAAACAAAGAAAGCCCACAGGAGGGGCAACAAAGCAACAAACATAACAGGGCATTACCGGGGCTAGAAAAACAGAGACACTGCCAAAGAAGCAAGCGTCACCCTGCAGCACCCCAACAGCAAAAAAACTAAAGAGTAGGGCACGGAAGATCATCTTTGTTGAGAATGTGAATTAATGAAGATGGGGGTCGTCTAACCCAAGTTTTCTCTCACATCTCCATAGTCTTAAAATTCCTTCTAAGATTGGAAAAAGTTCCCAGCTTCCATTTGTAACTTTACCTTTTTACCATTGCAGAATTGGTGAGTACTTATATATGGTTACTTTGCAATCACTATTACTGTGACATGGAAGTATGCTTGCTGAGTGAGCCGTCTGTTTAATTAGAGTCGGTAATTAACAATGGTTTCTCTCCAACCCAAAGTATTAGGCCTGATAAACGATGTGCTTGGGCTTAATTTCATCGTTTTGTGCTTATCAAATTTCATGGGTCAACACAAGCATTTTAACTTTTATGATATGATTTTTGCAATTTTTTAATATTTCTACACAAGCATGTTATTTGATTTCTCTTTGATTAATATAAAATTAAGGGTTAACTACATTTTACAGTTCAATGTTTGAGGTAATTTTTAAAATGAGTCATGAGGTTTAAATTTTCTCACATTGCCCCTAAGGTTTTAAAAATTTGTATCAATTAACACAGTTTGTATATTTGAATGTCTAATTATTCATTAAATTGATGAGTTTTCTAGTTAATATGGTGTAAATGTGGCGTAAATATCAACCTAGTTAAGGGAATTGTTATTAGCACTCCAAAAATCACATTTGGCACTCCAAACTTTCTATAATTAGAAAGAAAAATACATTTGTGAGGGGTGTAGAATGAGATTTTTGGAGTGTTAATAACAATTCCCCTAGTTAAAGGTTTCATGCTCACTCTGACTATGTCATCAATTTAACTATAATTCCAATAAGGCTTTTTAGCCAAAATGGTCCCTGAGATTTGCATAACACATCACTTTGGTCCATGAAATTGAAAATCAATAGAAATGGTTCTTGAGATTGTCCACCATCCATTATTTTGGTCCTTCCGTTAAAACTCTGTTAAGTGTTCCAGAGCTCTTGGCCGGAAATTTGGGCAATTTTCAAAACTTCGTAACTCAATCGTTTCTTAACCAAATTCGACCCATAATATATCAAAATGAAGATAGGAAAGTGTAGAACAAGATTATACCTATTTGGACGCCCAATGGTTGTAAGATATAGCCGGAAAATAGCTTGAAAGGTGACTGGTCTGCGGGAAAACTGGAAAACTCGCCTGAAATTGGGTAAACTTTAAACATTCATAACTTCTTCAATACTCAATGAAATCGAGTAATTCAACAATGAAAATCATACTTCCCAACGAGACAAAGAGAATGGTACCTTTTTAAATGGATAATTCACTATAGTTTGGCCGAAAAATGACTCGAAAGTGGCTAACTCGAGACCAAGATAGCCACTTTCTAGCCGTTTTTCGGTCAAACCACGGTGATTTAGCCATCGAGAAAGGACCATTCTCTTCGTCTCGTCGAGAAGTATGATTTTTATTTTTGAATCACTTGATTTCGTTGAGTATTGAAGAAGTTATGAACATTTAAAATTTATCCAGTTTTCCCGTTGACCAGTCACTTTTTAGGCTTTTTTCAGCCAGCTTCAGCAACCATTGGGCTTCCAAATAGGTATAATCTTGTTCTACAGTTTCCAATCTTCATTTTGATATATTATGTGTCGAATTTGGTTAAGAAACGATTGAGTTACGAAGCTTTGAAAATTACTCAAACTTCCGGCCAATAGCTCCGGAACACTTAACAGAGTTTTTAACGGAATGACCAAAATAATGGATGGTGGACAATCTCAGGGACCATTTCTATTGATTTTCAATCTCAGGAACCAAAGTAATGTGTTATGCAAATCTCATTGACCATTTTGGCTAAAAAGCCTTCCAATAATTCATTAGACAAAAAGTAAAATTATTACAATTTCAAAATTTTAGGGAGCAATGTGGAAAACTACAAACCTCATAGCCTATTTTGAAAAACACCCGAAATATGAAAAGTATAAAATTAACTAAGAGTACGCAGGTGTGCAAAGATGAAAACAGACCTCTACCTAACAAATTTGATATATTATTTCCAATCTTGTACAAAAAAATTATATTGTAGTCTTGTAGGAATCTACATCAAGACGCAGGATAAGAACCTTCCCTCAAATCATCGACCAACACTACAATATACAGGAAGGGAAATGAAGGGTTTTTATCACAAATTAATCCACTTCATCAAGATAGTTCTTGAAATTGAAAACCGATTAATAAAATCTATAAAAATGAGTGTCGCAAATTCATAGAGTCGTTCCGTCGTCTTACAAAATATTGTCACGTAAATTAAAAATAAAAAAATCAGTTAATTTTAAATTCTAAAATAATAACAAAGAAACAAAAATTAACAATAAACAAAGAAAGCTTCGCCATGAACAGAGAAATCAATTGCACCTAAAATAAAGAGTAGATTTTCTCCCTTCCTATTCTCATCTCCTTCCCTCCTCTTCTCTCATACATTATTTTTTGTCTTATTGTCTCTATAAAAAAATTAATATAAGGTGTTGACGTGGTTTAACCGTGACCATTTAAATAGGAGAGGGGGGAAGGGGAGAGAGATTAGGAGGGGAGAGAATCCTCCTCCTTATAATAAAAGGAGTAGGATTCTCTCCCCTTTTTTTTCCCTCCCCTTCCCTCTCATTCTATTAGAACGGTCACGGTTAAGCTACGTCAACATATTATATTAATTTTACATAGAAAGAAAAAGACAAAATAGAAAATATGAGAAGAGGGAAGGGAAGGAGATAGAAAGAGAAGCGGAGAGAATCTTAGTCTATAATAAAAACCCAAAAAATAAATTATCCATATGACTTAGGGAATTTTAACGAAACATTCTCGGTATTGTTCACTTTAACAAAAAATGATATTTTTACTCTAAAAAGTCACTCATGATATTATTCACTTACAACATTTTTTTGTCATTTTGATTAAAACTCAAAGTTTTCAAACAATTTTCATTAATGTTTCTTATAATTGACTTAGAGGCAAAGTGTACCACATTTTTCTACTAAAGGATTCTCTCCGTTGATTTAAGGGTGGATTAAAAGTTAAAACATGATTGACAATTTGACATCATAGACTCTAAACTCGGTAATGTCGACTCATGGAGAAGTTGGGGATAAATTTTTTTATTGTGACGGGAATATGGGTGGTATACCACGTGTTTTTATGTAAGTAGTGGGAAATTTTATTTCTAAGTTATTAACTTTTTAACACACAAATCCTATCATTTGTATAATGACACGTAATGTACCATCTCGTGTGCCGATCACATTAAAAAATCTCGAAGTTATGACCCTCAAACTAGTCACCTTTTGACACTGAAAATAAATAAAAAAGGCAAAGATTTTCTCTGACGAAGAATTTTATGTCGCCAGGGTTTGTCTTGCAAAGCTTATAATCTCTACACACTAGTTTCTCCCTCCAACAAATACCAAATCTTAAATATATTTAAAAAAAAATTCGATCAATAAGAGGTTCTTCAATCTTACTAGATCTTTCATAGTAGTTTGCGTGTGTGATATTTATATATAATACATGAGTATAATAAAACTAATAATGTGACGACTTGTTCTTAAATTTTTTATGTAATTTTCTTTCCGAGTATGTAAATTGACGTTTATGTCCTTTTTGGCAAAAGTGAAACCTGAAGTGGACGTAGTTATTTGGCTTTTAATTTATTTTTCTTGTTATCATAATTAAATAGTACTTGTTGTTATGATGGCGTGAGCACATGTTATACTTGAATTGGATTTGTAACGAAAAAGTTACATTTAGTTCAAGTGCATTAACAACGGGTAACATTGTACACGCGTGTGCAAATTATCCAGTGTTAGAAACACAGTTTTGTTTTTAAGGGGACAAATTTTGTGTAATCTGGAATTGTACAAATCTTATCCCTTTTTCTCTTTAAAATCTGTCCCGTGACCTCACCACCAATTATTTCTTTTCCCACACTTTTTCAGCCAATCAGACATCTCTCATCTCTGCCCAATCAGAAACATTCTTCTCTCTCTTTCTCTTCTCTTCTTCTTCTCTCCTTACCTGTAACTCTCTATTCTCTGCAACAACAAAGATCACTTTCAAAACTTCACAGATCGAGACTCAAACCACCACCCTTGTGCTCCTTTCATTCTCACGAACCCATTTGTACCAACCGATCATGAAATGGACGAGTGTTGAGTGTCCAACTTGAAGCAACTCGGAGCTCTAACTCGAGTGGAGTTTTCCCTAACGTTTTTCTGTTCGAGTTACAAGATTTTAGGAGTTTTGGAAGCATCTAGGCAACTCCTCAAGGCCATTAGCCTAGTTTTGAAGTGGAGCCAAAAAGGAAAACACACGGTTTTGAGACTATGAGTTTGGGTCCAGGGCTATCGAGTCTATTTTGATCCATTTCCATCCATCTTTTGAACTTTTAAGAGGTATAATCTTGTTCTCCTCTTCCCCAGCTTCATTTCCATATAAAGTACGTGGAAAATGGTTAAGAGATGAAAAATATATGAAGATTTGAAATTTTTCCAGAATACGGCGAACCAGATGGCGGAGGACAATCGAAAAAGAAGGAGAACATTCCGTCAAATTTGACGAAATATTCTAACGCCGTTAACTGATGCCGTTACCGTTAGCCGAATATTCCGTCAAGTCTGACGTAATAATTCCTAGGTATGTCAGCATGTGGCCAATGCGTGGGCACGCGTGTGGCCATGGGCTAGGAGGCACGTGAAGGTGCGTCCGGCCTCTAGCCGACTTGTGGTCGACGTGTACGGGTCTATGACTTCTTGTAGAACGTTTTCGTATATTTAAACCCTTAGTTTGAGCAAACTATGGGGGATTTTCCTAGCCTTTTTGTGTAGGTCCTAATTAATTAATTAGTAAAGTTATTTCACATATAGGTGAGACTTACCCCGAGGAGGTACGAGGACAAATAAGGCTAGGAGGCTACGACCTATCGACGTATCAGTGAGTTGTCACTTGTGTGTGTGTGTATATATATATATATATGTTTTATAATTTCCACATGTGCTTTTGTATTGATTTATGACTATCATGCCATGTTTTATTTAATTTTAGAAATGTTATTACGTGGTTGAGATTTATATACTGTCGTGGCATGTTTATATACAATTTACCTACTCATCATACATTGCTGCACCCGGTGTTAGTGCTCACCCAAGGCCAGGGCCAGTCTTTCACGTGTATGTTCATATCTGCGTCGCACGCTCACCTTGGATCCAAGTAGGTGCCAATCCTGTCGTACAGGTTGCAATAGGCAACTCCGACTCGTATGTGACCGCAAATAGTACCAGTCTTCACATGATTTTAGCACTAGAGCGTATATTATGATTACACCCAGTCTTGTTCATGTCAGAAATCATCTGCAAGAACTCATGTGTCAGAATAGATTGATGAGCACTTGATTTTACTTATACTACTATTGAGATATTATGATTAGCGTATTTCTGGATTTACTGTTGATTTGCATTTGATTTTATACTTATACGTAGTATAATTTTCTAGAAACTATACATGATTTACGGCGAGGGGTTAGTATGTTCAAAAAATAAATGTATTTTATAAACCTTTGTTTTTGCCCATTCACCTTTCTGTTTTTCGCCCCTCCAGGTCCTAGTTAGCTGATTACTCTGTGGCGTATGAGGAATATTCGGCAGTTCTGACATACCCTTAAATAAATGTAGGAGTTTTTCCGATTGTGTATTAAGCACTTTAACTAGTTTCGACTGCACACTTTTATGTCATCTATGCTCTGAACACTTATGTTTTATGGGTTCTTTCCACTACTGCGCACTCTCTACTTTAGATTAAATAAATGTTAGCTTTGGTTTTAATTTACCCATATTTTTATGCTTCACTTTCCTTTTTAGTTATGTCACCTTCAGGTGACGGCCAGCATGCCTCGACTCCAATCAAGGTGTGTCAAATAATGCTAAATATAGGAACAACCTCCCTATAGCCATAAAAGTTTTTTGTTCCAATTTGGACATATTATGTATAAGAATAAACTCCAGATTATAATAAGTTATTATTATTTTAGATGATGTATTAAGAAAATTTGTCTCCATATAGTAATAATTGTCCATAGAGTTTATACCACACCTTTGAGCTGGCCGATACGTAATACCTCGTCAACATGGATTTCTTCTTGATGAAGCCATATTGTTTCTAGCTTCGCAAATGTGTTTACATGCCCTAGATTTTAAAAATTGGGGGGTTTTTTTTTTCATGTTACATCTTGGAATTTGCCGTGTTCCACTAGTAGTTTTTTGTATACATATATTTTTCATTAAAGATACCTAAAGTAAAAAAAATAAAATAAAATAAAAATTAGCTACACCTCTATTAAGTAATAACCTCTCTAAAGTTACAAAATGATTTGGTCCCAATATTATAACTATATAGAGGTTTTATTATACATCACACTCGTGAGTTTAATACATTGAACTCATGTTACTCTCAAATTTTCTGGCTTACTTTAGGAGTGTAAAATTCTTATATGAGCTTAATATATTGATATCACACTTACTTTTTCCAAACTATTATAAAAGTTCTTAATGATACATGAAAGAGATGTTAGAGTTTTGAGACTCTTGTCCCACATTAGAGAAAACAAGATTCTCAATGACCTTTATAAATGTTTTGTCCTTTACAATATTAGTTAGGCGTTTGACCACTTGGAATGAGAATTGAGGCTTGGGCCACCAATTGTGTGGATTAGGCTTGATGATTATACCATAATATTAATATATATTAAAATTAATCTGATCAATTAGTTTTAATTTTCGAATTAAGTTTTTAATTAAAATTAATTAAAAACATTTTGATTAATAGACACAACTCTTTGGAAAGAGTTGTATAGCTTCAGATACATCCAAAAGATATTTGAAGAGATATGAAATAGCCTATATAACTGGAGTCCTCAGTTCCATTCCATATATCTTTTCTTCCTCCTTTCTTCCGTACGAAATTTCCAAAGAGTAAGCATACAAAGCAAATTCGCTAGAATTCTAGAATCCAGTGCGGGTTGTAGAATTAGGTAGTTGAATCCTGATCAAGCAGGCGTTGTTGAACCACAAGCACAAGAGTGGGACGTAAATACTGTTCGAAGGACATAGCTATTACGCTAGCCTCTACCTTCTGTAATCAAGTTAGTACCATTGATATTCTTGTATTTATTTCTGTATTTCATTCTGCACAGCAAGTATTTTGATTAATAAATATTCTACAATTTCGAGTTATGTTATTTTTATTTATTTCTGAATTGTTCTCCAACAATAGAGACCACTATTACAACATTATATTCGATTGTTCACAATATGCTACAACAATTTTGTGACTTATTTGTTATTTCATAGTTCATACCACATCCACCGGGATTAGGCTGATTTAAATAATATTAATTCAGTAAACTTCACATATATATATTACTCAAGCGGATTCTCTTTTTTTTTCCTTTTTTTTTTTTGTAAAAATAGGGATTAGTGTGAGGCCTACTTTATATCGAACTTCAACAATCCAAACAATTTATCTTTTTTTTTTTTGAATAAACTTTAACGATCCGAACTGTTTATCCTTGAAAAAAATTAATTCAAGTCAAAAAATCATTTACCCATTTGATTTTTTTTTTTGGTCAAACTATTTATCCATTTGATTATCATGATGAAATTTCAATATTTTTTTTTTAAACATAGTGATCATCAATTTGCTTGAACTCAATTAGATGCCTCAAACAATTCTGATTTGGCTAATATTTTGTAAGGATGGTTTATGAAATGCAACGTGAAAAATAGACGATTCGAATCATTGAAATTTGATGTAGCGTCCCTGCCATTAATCTCTATTTTTATCAGATGGTTTTCTCCTATATAAAGCAGTTGACCATGTTAATCAAACTCACCCCAGATCGGTATAGGCACGGGCAAGGGACGTTAATTTCTAGGCTATAGATGGCTGGCTAACGATTTCCATTTATTTATTTGGACAGCCTAAATTTTGGACTTTTATTTTAATCTGTTAAATTATTGTTCACAAAAACTCCAAAAGCTTTTGGTTTGAGCTACATGCCAATGCCATCGTTTTATCCACCTACCTGGCCACCAAGCCGAACTCACTCCGCCCCGTCCGGTATTTTCACGCGTGCAAATTCAATCAACAACTTAGGAACTGTTGGCACTACATATTTATGTATGAGTTAGGATTCGATGACACATATTTTGACACAGTTTTATTTACGTGTCTTTGACTAATTGAAAAGCAAAACATTAACCAATAATTCAAACTAAAGAATTTTGAGAAAAAAAGGGAAAGATTTCAACTTTGAGTTTGGAAATATGGTGTGGACATAAGTGCTTTGTAAGTTTGTGTGACAACCAGCATTTTTCGGTCTGTCGTGAAAAAAAGGGTTTTTTATATTTTTTTTTTTATATTTTTACTCTCGGCATTATGTACAAGGAAATTTTATTGATATGAAAAAAGAAGTTATACCTAGTCAGGGGATATAAACCTTACCACAGTTATCCCTAAAAAATAAGAAAACCATAATACAAGAAAAGAGGGGGATATAAATCTTACCCTTCTTGAAAAAGAAAATACAAGAAGATGGGGGATCATAAACCTTACTCCTCTTGGAAAGGGTTAAAAAGTGAAAGCTTATAACTAGAAATTATTTACTAGTATACTTAAGGCTAGAGCGAATTTGGATCCTCTTCGGACCTTAATGTCCGGAGCTTAAGCACTAGGAAACCTAGACCCTTGGTTTGTGTGAAAGAGAAGTCGGATTCCTTGGTTTGTGTGAGATGACCAACAAAATGACTTAATGGAGACTATTGGATTTAATTTGAGTGGTCCGGATTGCCTGGTCCTTGGACTCTAAACAGTAAGATACTGAGTGGATCTCTATCTGGCTAGAGCTAGCTTAATAATCTCCTCTCTTTCATTGTTTGAATTTTTTTTTTATTGATAGCTTGCACCTCTGGGAATATAAAATCTCACTCAAGTCAAGAGCTAATTGGTATGAATTTTCATAATAAAGAAAATGATGTGAATTTTCTTATGCTTGACAATACATTTAAATCTTTCTTTATTTTTTCGAATCAATGTAGCATTTTTTTGTTATAGAAAGTTGAAATTATATATTATTGAAGAAATAACCAAATCAGTACAAGAGATGAAAATTGGAAACCTAATAAACAAAGGGAAAGATGTTGAAGAATTAGGGTAACCAAGCTACTCATTAGGCTAGGTTGTTGGACATACTATTTGTAGCGTCTCTCTTTATCCGCACAAGGCGGCCAAAAAGAACCAGTACCTCAAGATCTAATCATCAAATACAAGTGAAGGCCATATTCAAACATAATTAATCTAGCATGTTCAGCCCACGCCACATTCAAACGTGCATTATATTTGCCAGCATCAGTATATAAGATGCAACAATATATATAACAATTGAATTTGCATGATTAAGTTTTTTACAATCTCAATCTAGTCGTTTAGATTCCATTGTATTATAGAAAAAACCCTTGTTTTGACTGCATAACAAGATGCTCATGACTCTGTTAGACAAACTCAACAGTTGGTTACCACCAATGTTTCTTGAGGAGTTGTGTTGTGCTTAGGAGTCTTATCTTCTTGTTTGTAGGACTCCATTTTAAATTATTCATGTAACTAAAGTTGTGTGTAATCTTTGTAGATTTCAGTTTGTACTTTTGAATTTTGAACTTCCGTGTAAGAACCCTGATTGTAATTTGTAACTGTAAGTGGTTATAAATACATGCATCCCACAATTGAATGGGCATGCAATTGAAGTGAAAGCTTTGTGTTCTTAAGTTTTACATGGTATTGAGTCCTACTATCTAATGATAATGATCCTTGTTTTTTTTTCCTCGCTTCCAATGGCTGAGAACAGCGGTGCTTTTCCTTAACCTTCCATCCTTGTCCCCCCAAACAATCTCACCCATCCATTTTCCTCCATGACCACAGTGGTAAACATTAAGCTCGACAGGACCAACTACCCACTGTGGTTGGCCCAGATACTTCCTATTCTCAAGAGTTGAGATTTAATGGGATATGTTGATGGCACTCTGTCGTGTCCCCCTAAGAACCTGCTTGGTGTGGCAACTGTCAATCATGCCTATACTTCCTGGATGCAACAGGATCAAATGATCCTCGATTGGATCAATGACTCTCTTACTACATCAGTCTTGTCTGTCGTGGCCAGCAAGAGAAGTGCTCAAGCACTTGGGAAGCTCTCGAGCAAAGGTATGCATCTTCTTCACAAAATAAAATTCTATTTTTGAGGAATGAATTGCTGCAGACAAAGAAGGGTGATCTCTTTGTGGCGGACTAGTTGGATCGCATGAATGCAATTGCTGACAACCTTGCCCTAGCTGGGCAACCTGTGAGTGACAATGAGTTAATGCCGATTATGTTGAACAATTTTAGTCCAGCTTTCGAGAAGACAATTAGTGCTGCTCAAGCCTGTGATACACCCATCACGTATCTGACTCTTGAGGCACTATTGCTAACCATTGAAAGAAGAATGATGGAGCACGCTACTCCTGTGGTGGAACCGGCTCCTGTTAACGCCTTTGTTGTTGCAAGAGGTTGAGGTGAAGAACGCACTCGTGGTGTTGGGCGAGGGGTTTCTCCCTCAAATCGTGGTGGTCCGTCAAATTAACGAGGCTTCAACCCTCGTCCTAAAAACAATCAATGTTATGTTTCTGGAAATGGGAGACTGGTGAACGCATTGTCTGTCAGATATGTGGCAAACTTGGTCATCCAACTCTTGATTGTTATCAACGAATGAACGTTGCTTTTGAAGGCCGCATTCCTGCCAAACGCCTCTTTGCAATGGCATCATCTTTTATCACCCTCAACAAACAACAAAATGGCAATTGGTTGCTCGACAGAGGAGCTAAAGCTCACATTACTCCGGATCTTTTGTAAATCCGAAGGAGTATAACGGTAATGATGATGTTGGTGCTGTAGGTAATGATTCTGGTATTTTGATTTCACATTATGGTTCTAATAAAATTCACACTTGTGCTTGCTTATTTGATCTACAAGACATTCTGCACTACCCTAAAGCCTCAACTAGTATCATTTATGCACATAAGTTTACATTAGACAATGACTACTATTTACTAATCTTCTCACACTTCTTTCTTATTAAGGACCTCAAGACCCGGAAGACGCATTTCCAAGGGAGATGTGAGAACAGCTTATATCCGTTTTTTGGTGGCGGTGGACAACTTCCAAATCCAATTACAGCCTTTGTAGGGGTTCGAGTTTCTATTCAAAAATGGCATGCTCGTCTTGGTCATCCTGCCAATACTACAATAAAGTTTTT